CAGGTTTCAGACATAGTTCAATGGAAGGCATGCACACTAAATTTGTCGCATTCTCTCTATCGACTATTCATTCATCATTTTTTATGCACACGTAGTGATATATAAACAATAAGGTTAAACAAACGAAAAAAGAATTATCAAAATCCTTTTTTTCTAGATTATTTCTTGATGATTTTTTAGTTCAGAAAATGTCGATCTCGATCTATGATTGCGAGAGGACAACTCTGAAACACTCTGACAGAAATCGAACCAGCTGAAGTTCAGACAGATTCGAAGATCTGACGAGCTTCAGTTATCAAAGCAAGAAATCATTCAATAAAATAAATTCGGATTATTTTGAAAAAAAGGTAGTAATATGCTTTTTAAAAAGAACCCATCAAAAATGTCTCACAAATTACAACGAAAGCGACATATTTTAACTTAGTATGTGTCAGCTCCAATCCTTCTCGATTTCCTCATACAGGGATGACACGTTGCGAAGACACATCGAATTACAAAACACTTGAACAGTGTAACTAAACCATCATCTCACGGAGCAACCACTCTAATAATGTCTTAGAAAATTCGATTGCCACGTGAATAAATGTCTGACCTTTGGCTAACCAGACCAGTGAATCTGAAAATACTACGAATTTCGTACTCTCATTGTACAAATTCAAATCAACGACACATGGTTACAGCTTCTATATTACTGTTGTAGAGTGTACCCCTCATTTTTCCACATCCACACAACATGGCATACTGTATGTGGTATTTCAAGACAACCCATTTCCTACCAATAACATCGGCTTCCATGATTTGTGTCAATTGGTTGTCAATCTCCCCGAGAAATGCACATGAGCTTTCACGTTATATGTGCATTATCTGGTCACTCTTTTCGTCGCGCCATTTCACCAGGAATATTGTATATTTCGGTTCGTAGTCGATCCTTTCGCAACCCGTCCTTTCTCAGTACAGATTTCGTAGCAGCTGAAGCAGCTGCCATGAAATGTATGTCACTTTATGAAGAGACCTTCCGCGGCCAGTTCTTGAACGGCATGCATATTCGGTGAGGTTCTCTATGTGCTTTGCCGCGTCATTTTTATTATTGGTTTTCGGAAGGCTGATGAAAAACACTGTGCGTTAACCAGATTAGTTTGTACACCTGCTCATACATCCTTATATATCTCCTTAAACCTCCTTTATCTCCTATCCCTGCTTATACCTACTGCACCCTTTCAGTATTATTCGTCAAAAGAAAATGAAACCAGTTTTCAGAAGCTCAAATGAATTTCCTGGAAATTCAAATAAGGCATCATACAACCGTTGCATCCGTAGTACGCAGGATTCATCTTTTTCTCCTTGGAGGCAGGACAATTTTTTTTATTCTATTCTTTCACGTGCATGAGAGCATGTCTGTAGTCATGTCTCTTTGTTTTCATATAATATGCCAAATGGTATCTCTTCCTTTCACTAAAGGAGTCGCTGTATTTGCACTGCGTCGCTGGTTTTTTTGTCCTCCACTTTGTAGAGAGAAAACGAAGGTTACACACTTTACGCATGGCTTTTCTTTCAGTAGAGGGAGCAAGCCAAAATGAATTTCTTTGAGTGTGAGTGTGGATACAGGAAAAGAGTGTGACCTTGTTTCTTTTCATATATACCCACTCTCGCAGTACGCCACAAATAGTGAAAGATGAGACAGCTTCTATCCCAAACTACATCTCCTCTACCTCGATGGCTACATATTTGTTCATACTATTCCTCATTTTACGCTAGTTCAAATTCGATTTCAGGTTGACGATGAACATAAGACTGTATGGCAAAAATGATAGGGCTTAATTGACCTATTCCTTGTCACATTTTTTCGTGCCGTTGCTGCTCACCCATCAAAAAATACGTTTTTTATCAGCAAATTATCGTGACATGCATACAAGTTTGTGATAGAAGACGGGCAGCCTCCTCTCCTTCTTATTAAACATCTCAATATCAACTATCGAGCAACGCAAATAATAACACTCGCTTCGAAACTTAAGGAGGAAAGCTGTATGGCGTACGCCAGATTGAAGTTAGAATATTTACTTTTCTTTCCTTTCGCATCATTAATTTTAGTGATTGGTACGAAAAAAATAGTAATAAAACTGCATACAAAGCTATTATAGGAGACAATGAGTTGAGAACCAAATTAGTTGAAAGAAAAATATGGTCACTCTGACGCTTCTAAAGTACACCATATGAATTTCTTTAATTTTACTAGTGAAACTAGAAACAAAGCAGAACTTTTATAATGTTTTAGAAAATTTGACAGCCATTTATTCAATCTTGAAAATATTTCAATGATTCTTGCTATCACATTGTTAACGCTGCTATCGTTAATAAACAGTGACCGGTCAACAACAATAGTTATCGTACTCCATACAATACACGCGGAATTCGAAATTTTGACGACAATTTAGGTGAAGAATTTACTTACAATATCATGGCACCTTTTTATTACGTATAGAATCTTTTACCACTGCGTTTAAACCAGGAGATAGTGGTAAAAGTTAAGGCCAATCTAACAACTCCATACTATCAGATTGACTCGGCAGCTCACACATTTCCATTGTTTCGAAGCACTATGAAGTTTGATATTAAAGGACAAATAAAAAATAGTTCGGCAAAATTAAACAAACTCAAAATCGCCTTTAATCGACTATGTCAAATGGCTACGCCATCCTCGCGTGCTCTAAGAAATAGCTATGCTCAACTTTTCTATATGGAGTGACGAAAAGGTTTATTCCAGGACGAAAATGAATTGAAATCCTTTGCATCACGTATTTCCATGGTGAATTTCCCAATAACTATAGAAACTCTTCGTCCAGATAAACTGTGACAACTGTATATTCTGTTAACAGAAAGAGGCAATTATACATGGTGAGAAAGTTAATAACAGGACCGATATCAAAATGAATAATAGCGTGCAAAAAAACCTACAGCTAGACGAAACTTATTTAAAAGAAGCTCCCTTAACTTGAAGCTTCTGTCACAAGTAGAGGTTTTGAAGCCTGATTTCAGGCACTTATTCCGGCTGCATATTTTTAGCAAAGGTGAGATAGAAGATCAACATCAAAGAATTATTCAAATGTCATTCCGTTGTGCTGGAAAAGACACTCAAAACTGTCCTTCTATTTCATGAGAGGTATGGTTTTGATTTTCGCTTTGGAAAAGGTTTTCCTGTGCATACTTCTGATATCAGGCCAGGTTCACTTACTTTCCTTCGAAATAAGACTGCAAAACGCTATCCTAAACCACTTCTATACTGAACTTTACATACTTATACCTTTTTGAACTGTGATGACATCAGCAGAGTATGATCAGAATTGTTGATTGCAGTAAAAATACCACTCTGGCTTTATGAAATAGGAAAAATAACGTAATCCTTGCGTGTCATTATATCTTGTTTGAAACTGGATACAATTAAACTACTGAGTTTTTTGAAAGAAAGTGTTATTCTTTATGACGTTCGACTGAAATAAAACTTGATAGATCTCATAAGTTTTGATAGTTGCGCTTTCCTTGTCTCGAATATATCATTTTGGATTCTTATTGCTCATGCGCTACAAAAACATAGTCTAATTTCATTTTCTTTTTCATCATGACGTGCAGATGAATCCTAGCACTTTCTTCAAAACTTATGAATATTTTAGTTTCGCCCTTGTAGGGTATGCTACTTAACATTAGAAATTCCGTAATTCTATAGAATTTTGACACAAAATCGAGGAAACTTTTTCTTCTGACGTTTCTCAATATACATATATTATATTCTTGAGAAAGTTTAGTCTTTGGATTCTTGTGATTCTCATGTTATATAATTTCGTTTTCTTAAGATTAGTCAGCAGCACGATGTTTTGTGTAGAGGAAGCTTCTCCACTATTTTTGATTATTTATATGAAAATTAATCAGTATATAGATATATGTATACTAAAGGAAATATTTCCGTAGATCTATGTTCACATGATACAGTAGTCACCAAAAGTAACGCTACAGGTGAAAAATTGAAATCTTAATCGTGTGGGCTGATATTAAACTTGCAGATGGACTTCAGAAAACCCTGATCAAAATGGCCAACAGGAGATAATTTGCTCATACTATAATGAATCTATAATGCAAACACGTATTTTCCTTCAAGCAAATGTTTTTGAGTACTGAAAACAGATATTTCAGTCTCCCATCTATCATTCCAGAAAGCAACACTGCCTCGCCTTTCCATAAAATTTTCATTCTTAACAACTTTGGATTGATTGAGGTATGAAATATTCTTTGAAAATCATCGAAAGGTAGTTGAAAAAAGTCTAACAAATTTATTTAAAATTTCATTTTGTTTTCAGTCAATAAGTTTGAAATCCTTACTAGAGAATGCCCTCTACTAAAAAAGTTCTTCCTGAATTTTTACAATTTTTAGCTGGAGAAAACTAGTGATTCATTTTAAAACCACTATAGATAATGTAGAATCTATTGCATCTCAAATCAACAACAGAATGAAATGACTTTTATTGAGTAATTACATATTCATAAAAAGTGCATGTTGGTTCAAAAGGTATCAGTATGGGTTGGGTGTGACTGGCCCCGGATATTGATGGGGATATCGGTCTTGTCCTCAGCATAGAGGTGTAATCTTCCACTTACTATTACTGATAATTAGTAAGTGGTATGTGGTGAAGACTGTCACGCACGAATAAATAATTTATAATTAAGATATTCATTTATTAGTGCTACAGTGGCAACTTTTTTATGACTACGACACACAAAGTCGTTTGGCACGAAAATTTTATGAAAAAGGGAGCCAATGTTGCTTTCTCTAATGATGGGTAGAAAACTAAAATATTTGTTTTCTGTCCTGAGAAACGTTTGCTTGAAAGAAAATGTGTTTTCAATATAGATCCGTTACAGCATGAGTAAATCAGCTCTTGCTTCGTGTGGGCGTGTCGTTCTAACTCACTTCATGTATGGTGCACTGACACTTGAGCCTCATATTAAATTAATTAATAGAAAAAAAATACCACATTTATTGGAATAGATTTAATAGCTAAATCATAGCGTGCCTTAAATGTTTCAGCACAGTGCCAGTTTTCAGAATTCAATAGGCAATCAAGGTCATCATCAGATGATAATACAATCTTTCCATGGCCAACATCATCATTATCATGCAGCAAAAACCGACCTCCACCATTAGTTACATTAAGTTCATTAGGAATAAGAATATCACTAAAAGATTTTGGTCGTAGTGATGGTAAATATTGTTTTTCTCGTTTTTGTTCAATAGTTCGTTGTGAAGGTGGATAGTTTGAAATAGCTGAACTATCTTTTTTATTTATTTTTAACAAAGCTGGATGAATACATCGTGGTGGATCCTGTGATGCTTTTGTATCAGAATTGAGATTTGATTTTAATTCCACTGATATTGTTTCTTAAGAGTTTGCTGCGTGAACATGATTCGTAACTTTAATATATCCTGCACCATCCAAACGTACACGACCAGCAAAGTCATTTCGGCAACAACGCCAAATATTTTGAGATTTATTTGTACGATGATAACGACAACCACTAAGTAAAAGTTGATTCTTGCTTTTTCGAGGATTTAACAATTGACATTGTTAATGATAATAGAAAAATATACCAACAATTATGAAATCTTTATAATTCAAAGATATATAATTCGAAAAACTTGTTCATTTCTGTAAAGATGATTGACTCAGCCACGAAAGATGCATCAGCAATTTATCAGATACTATCGAAAGATGTCTCATGCTTCAGCGCACTATTTCAAGTAAATTAAGTGATCCAATATGAATTTCGTGTGTTCTATATTTAATGCAACAAATTTCAATTTAGATAGCTCATATTTTGTCTGTTTTTTGCATAATTATAGGTACTGATTATGTTTATGCATCAAGCACGATTGCTGCTACTGATAATGACTACAATGATGTGCCATGATTTCTCCTGTGTAGTTACAAAAAACTGTATACCGTGAGTTTTTCCATGCTGGTACGCAACATCGTTTCTATTTGGAATTGTCAGGTTGCAAATGCTTATGGAATGGAGAAGTACCATTGTGCTTTCTTTCTTCTGGCTGTCCAACGCTCATGATAACTATCAAAATCGACAAGTCTGAAGATGGTGTTTAATAGACTAATCAGAAAGAATGAGAAATTCGGTTTTTCATGCTCTTACCAACGTTATAATGATTTTGTGTCTCATCCGACTCATCATAACACACGTGAAGTGAAAATTTATTGAGTTAGGTAGAGACAAATGGCGAATCGAAAATGCATACTTTCGAAATGTCTAGTAAAGCTTTTCTCTAAATCCACACTATAAGCAGTAGCCCTTAAATTTTTTCTCCCCAGCATTATGTTTCTTGTCGAAAGATCTCAACATAGACTTTTTCTCATTGCCGGAAAGCCGAAAGAGAAACAAGTCTCTTGCTAGTCAGGTCGAACTAATGATACAGAACTTCTTCATCAGCGATTTTCATTCAGAAGTGAATTGTGTAAGTGTATTTACCATGAGAATGGTGATCTTCTACTACAAGTAAATCGATTAATTGACCATTCAAACTCACGAAAGCGGTTGTGGACAACTATCTGGTTTTATATCCATGAGTATAGATTTCGATATCAAAAATTCACGTTATGAGCCTATTCATTTGACCGGAACGTTTCGTGCTCTTTTACATGAAATCGACAATCTTTGGCTAGCTTTATTTCTCATAGCTATTATCCTGGTCGATAGCGGGATTATATTGCACACATGATGGATTTCGTCGATAACTTCTCTTTAATTATACAAAGAGAAATATGATCGGCGTGTTACTCGCACTAACAAGCAACCGTTCTCGCACTATACATAAAAATAGGAGAAGAACATAGCACGCGATATAAATATCATGATTGAATTTATCTGATAAGGATACAATAATACCTCCAATATCGACCACATCAGTGATGGTGTAGCTTCGCATTTTAAAAGTGAGGATTGAGCACTGAAATTAAATATCCGAATGAGGCGCTTTTGCATATATGTATCATATGTTTAGCTCAACTGCTCATGAGAGCTTTGATCAAGTCCACAGCAATAAATTATCTGTTAAAAGGGGGACTACAAGCTGCTTTTTCATCATCTAGAGAATTTAGCGAAAGATGCTTGCAAGGTCTGCACGTAGCGAAATTTCACTCTCAAAACCAACTTATCTCCCAGAAGCGAATCTTTCTAGCGATGCTATCAGTGACGGATTTCAACGTAATCTAAAACCGCCTTGAAACATTACGTACTACTGTACTTCGTGATTGGATGTAGCTATTATCCATGCTTTCAAAGTTCAAGCAATACCGCCGTCGCTCGATTCAATATATTAGGAAATTTATCGTCGTTTAGCTCATATAGTGCCGTTTGATTGAACTGCTTGCATCTTTTACTTCCTGCTACTACCTATAATCAATTAAAATTTCCATGGCCATGCAGTCTAAACGTTTCAATAGAAAAGTTTCGAACACAATTGATCGACAATCCAGCGCTGCTCCCGAATAGAACCATTCGTGTCACTCCACAACAATTTTTAGATATGCAATAGATTCGTAAAGCTGAATAAAGCATTTTCGTTAACACCAAATTCTAGGGATAATTTCCGAATATCAAAACTACCTATCGACTTCAAACATGTGCAAACAAGCATTTTAAAAAACATATGTATCAGCACAGTCCTAAAGAATAATTCCTGTTGATTACCTCCATTCTTCAAGAATTCATCAGAAGAGATAATAGCATCTGGCATCTAATCAAAGGTTGGTATGGTGTCTGCAAGTAAAATCAACATCGTTGCTTTGATGTCCATCCAGTCTGAATCAAAATTTATAAAATTTAGCATAAGAATGATCAGGAAAACTACCTCTATCATTTTTGAAAGTATAGACTTGTGAAAATTATGGCTCTGACAACCCACACGAAAGTTGAGAGAATCGGGATAGTTATCGATATAGACCTGACTTATTGTAAGACATTGTTTAAATCGTGAATTTTTCATCGAATTTGGCTGAGACTGACGGATACATCCAGAAGAGCTATCGAAAATCAAATCAAGCATTACAGTATTCCTGAAGATAAACTGTTTCTTCTACTTGGGTCATAATAATCTACCGAATATGTATCGATCCTGCTTCAGATTGCCCTAGAAATACTCGTGTTCATTAATTAACAGTAAAACTATATTATTCGAATTTCCCTTATTTCTTTTTTAGAATCGCTCGCGCGTTTCCGTTATTCAAAGTCAAGGCTTATCTGAAGATGTCACTTCGGTTGTGGTTTCTTTTCGACAGACCAGTTTCTGTTCGAACTATGATGTTAGTTTTTCTTTTGCTTTCGCTAACGAGTCTGCTTTAGATTATTTGTTGTGTTTGAATACTGACTTTGGTATGGAAACTAAATTTATACATCATGTTATCTCTTATTTGATAACCTAATTGAATAGCACCAGCAAAAGAAGTTCTACGTTGAATTTGCATTATTTTATTCACAAGAGAACCACTCTAACGAGAGGGGGGAAATATACCGTCGCCAATCTTCCTTTTCGCCAATTGTATTTTTCGCCAACTGGTGAATATCAACTAGCTTTTCGCCAATTGACGAATTTCGTGGGGAATTTCACCAATCGGCGAATACACTATGGCGAAACAAAAAGTTTATTGGCGAATTTCACACTAGAAATTCACCAAATTAGCGAATTTCACACTAGGAATTCACCAAATTGGCGAATTTCATACTAGAAATTCGCCAATTGACGAATATACTAAGCCCAAAATAAATATTTATTGACGCATTGCACACTAGAGATTCGCCAATTGGCGAATACACCATGACGAAACAAAAGTTTATTGGCGAATTTCACACTAGAGATTCGCCAAATTGGCGAATTTCTCCATGACGTTCGCAAATTGGCGAATATACTAAGGCAAAAGCAAATATTTATTATCGAATTTCATACTAGAGATTCGCCAATTGGCGAATTTCGTGGGGAATTTCGCCAATGGCGAATATACCATTGGCGAAACTCCAGATTGGCGAACTTACAGAGAGCCACGAGAGGGCACCTGAGGTGATACCTTCCGTTTTAATTCATTTATATCTCATGTGATCTAGTATTTTGAGTTAATAAGAAGCCGAAATGGATTTCTCCACATTGCTCTTTATTCCAAAGTTATGATCGTTTTACTGAATTTCAAGCCATCTCTATATATTTAACAGTAAAACTAAGCTATGAANCCGGCTGCATATTTTTAGCAAAGGTGAGATAGAAGATCAACATCAAAGAATTATTCAAATGTCATTCCGTTGTGCTGGAAAAGACACTCAAAACTGTCCTTCTATTTCATGAGAGGTATGGTTTTGATTTTCGCTTTCGCAAAGGTTTTCCTGTGCATACTTCTAATCTCAAACCAGGCTCACTTATTTGCCTTCGAAATAAGGCTGAAAAACGCTATCCTAAGTCACTTTTATACTGAAATTTACATACTTATACCTTTTCGAACTGTGATGACATCAGCACAGTATGATCAGAATTGTTGATTGCAGTAAAAATACTACTCTGGTTTTATGAAATAGGAAAAAATAACGTAATCCTTGCGTGTCATTATATCTTGTTTCAAACTGGATACAATCAAATTACTGAATTTTTCAAAGAAAGTATTATTCTTTATGACGTTCAACTGAAATAAAACTTGATAGATCTCATAAGTGTTGATAGTTGCACTTCCCTTATCTCGAATATATCATTCTGGATTCTTCTTGCTCATGCGCTACAAAAACACAGTCCAATTTCATTTTCTTTTTCATCATGGCGTGCAGATGGATAAAAGAACATAGTATCCACAATCCTATACTCGGTGCCGCATAGTTATCTAGTAAAACTGCAGAATAAATTTGGTATCCTAGCACTTTCTTCAAAAGCTATGAGTATTTTAGTTTCGCCCTTGTAGGGAATGGTACTTAGTATTAGAAATCCCATAATTCTATAGAATTTCGACACAAAATCGAGGAAACTTATTCTTCTGACGTTTCTCAATATACATATATTATATTCTTGAGAAATTTAGGTCTTTGGATTCTTGTGATTCTCAAGTTATATAATTTCGTTTTCTTAAGATTAGTCAGCAACACGATGTTTTCTGTAGAGGAAGCTTATCCACTATTTTTGATTATTTATATGAAAAGTAATCAGTATATAGATATATGTATACTAAAGGGAATATTTCTCTAGATCTATGTTCACATGATACAGTAGTCAGCAAAAGTAGCGCTACAGGTGAAAACTTGAAATCTTAATCGTGTGGGCTGATATTGTTCTTCCAGATGGACTTCAGAAAACTCTGATCAAAATGGCAAACAGGAGATGATTTGCTCATACTATAAAGGATCTATAGTGCAAATACGTATTTTCCTTCAAGCAAATGTTTTTCAACACTGAAAACAGATATTTCAGTTTCCCATCTATCATTCCAGAAAGCAACATTGCCTCGCCTTTTCATAAAGTTTTCATTCTAAACAACTTTAGATTGCTTGAGGTATGAAATATTCTTTGAAAATCATCAAAATGTAGTTGAAAAAAGTCTAACAAATTTATTTAAAATTTCATTGTGTTTTCAGTGAATAAGTTTGAAATTCTTACCAGAGAATGCCTTCTACTATAAAAGTTCTTCCTGAATTTTTACGATTTTAAGTTGAAGAAAACTAGTCATTGATTTTAAACCCTTTCTAGATAATGTAGAATCTATTGAATCTCAAATCAACAACATAATGAAATGAATTTTATTGGGTAAGTACATATTCATAAAAAGGGCATGTTGGTTCAAAAGGTATCAGTATGAGTTGAGTGTGACTGGGCACAGATATTGATAGGGATACCGGTCTTCTCTTCAGCATAGGGGTGTAATCTTCCACTTACTATAACTAGTAATTAGTAAGTGGTATGTGGTGAAGACTATCACGCAAGAATAAATAATTAATAATTAAGATATTCATTTATTAGTGCTATAGTGGTAACTTTTTCATGACTACAACACTTACCACTTACGTGGTAAGTTCTAAGTGTGACACCCCTACTTCATCATTTATAGCCACATTCATCGAATCGAACCAAAGTCGTTTGGCACAAAAATTTTTATGAAAAAGCGAGCCGATGTTGCTTTCTCTCATAATGGGTAGGAAACTGGAATGTTTGTTTCTGTCCTGAGAAACGTTTGCTTGAAAGAAAATGTGTTTTCACTATAGATCGGATGCAGTATGAGAAAATCAGCTCTTGCTCGGTGTGGATGTGTCGTCCTAACTCACTTCCTGTACGGTGCACCGACAGTTGAGCCTCATATTAAATTAATTAATACAAAAAATACCACATTTATTGAAATAGATTAAATAGCTAAATCAAAGTGTGCCTTAGATGTTTCCTCACAGTACCAGTTTTCAGAATTCAATAGGGAATCAAGATTATCATCAGATGAAAATATAATCCTTCCACGATCTACATCACCATTATCATAGATCAAAAACCGCCTACCATCATTAGTTACTTTAAGTTCATTAGGAATAAGAATATCACTAAAAGATTTTGCTCGTGGTAATGGCAAATTTTTTTTTTTCGTTTTCGTTCAATAGTTCATTGTGAAGATGGATAGTTTGGAACAGCTGAACTGTCATTTTTATTTCTATTTAACAAAGCTTGATGAATAATACGTCGTGGTGGATCATGTGATGCTTTTGCACCAGAACTGAGATTTGATTTGAATTCCACTGATATTGTTTCTTCAGAATTTGGTTCATGAACATGATCCGTAACTTTAATATATCCTGCACCATCCAAACGTACACGACCAGCACAGTCATTTCGACAACAACGCTAAATAGTTTGAGATTTATTTGAACGATGATAACGATAACCATTAAGTAAAAGTTGATCCTTGGTTTTTCGAAGATTTCACAATTGACATTGTTAATGATAATAGAAAAATATACCAACAATTATGAAATCTTTATGAGTAAAAGATATATAATTCGAAAAACTTGTTCATTTCTTTAAAGATGATTGACTTAGTCACGAAAAATACATCAGCGAGTCATCAGGTACCATCGAAAGATGTCTCATGCTTCCGTGCACTATTTCGATTAATTAAGTGATCCAATAGTAATTTCATGTGTTCTATATTTAATCGAACAAATTTCAATTTTGTGAGGCTCAAGTGTCGGAAGCTCAACTGCCGGGTCACGCTTCCTGTACACATGCCACACACCCTAGATAGTTCATATTTTGTCTATTTTTTGTATAATTATAGGTACTGATTATGTTTATGCATCAAGCACCATGGTTGCTACTGATAATGACTACAATGATGTGCCATGATTTCTCCTGCATAGTTACAAAAACTGTATACCGTGAGTTTTTCCATGCGGGTACGCAATATCGATTCTATTTGGAATTGTCAGGTTGCAAATGCTTGTAGAATGGAGAAGCGTCATTCTGATTTTTTTCTTATGGCTGTCCAACGCTCATGATAACTATGAAGATCGACAAGTCTGAAGATGGTGTTTAATAGACTAATTAGAAAGAATGAGAAATTCGGTTTTTAATGCTCTTACCTACGATATAATGATTTGTGTCATTTGATGTATATCGTGGGTTTCTAATAGTAATTTTTTCGACTCAAAGTAAGATGTTGGAGATTCAAACTTTGATTAAACTCTTTTGCCATTTTTTTTACATCATTCGATGGAACTTAGCTTGCTGGTCCGAAAAAGTACTTTTCCGCCTCAGCATCAAAAACTGAATATCAGCAAGTTATTAGATCGACTATAGACCGAAAACTGTATTGGTGGTAGCGTTTCGAATCGCATAAAGTCCTCCGCATACATGTCGATTTTGTAAACTTAGCTGATTTTTGTACGTAAGTGACAGAGTGAAATATCGTGTCTCATCCGACTTATCATAACATGAGTGAAGTGAAAATTTATTGAGTTAGGTAGAGACAAATGGTGAATCGAAAATGCATACTTTCGAAATGTCTAGTAAAGCTTTTCTCGAAATCCACAGTATAAGCTGTAGCACTTAATTTTTTTCTTCCCAGCATAATGTATCTTGCCGAAATATATCAGCATTGGCCTTTTCTCATTGCCGGAAGACCAAAAGAGAAACAAGCCTCTCGCTAGTCAGGTCGAACTAATGATTCAGAACTGAATTGTGTATGTGTATTTACCATGAAAATGGTCATCTTCTACTACAAGTAAGTCGATTAATTGACCATTCAAACTCACCAAAGCGGTTGTAAACGCTGTTTCGTGCTCTTTTACATGAAATCGACAATCTGTGGCTAGCTTTATTTCTCAAAGCTATTATGCTGGTCGATAGCGGGATTATATTGCACACATTATGGATTTCGCCGACAATTTCTCTTTAATTATACACAGAGAAATATGATCGGGGTGATACTCGCACTAACAAGCAACCATTCTCGCATTATACATAAAAATAGAAGAAGAACATGGCACGCGATATAAATTTCATAATTGAATTTATCAGATAAGGGTACAAGAGTATCTCAAATATCGACTACATCAGTGATGGTGCAGCTTCGCATTTTAAAAGTGAGGATTGAGCACTGAAAGTAAAAATCCAAATGAGGCGCTTTTGCATATAAGTATTATATGTTTAGCGCAACTCCCCATATAAAAATTTTTACTCAAAAAAGTGACTATTAATTACTTTCAGTAGTAGGTTTTAAGCAGGATTAAGTACTTATAAGTGAACCTTTTTAAGTACTTTTCATACTTTTTGACTAATAAGTACTATTAAGTACTTTTGAAAGTAGGAAAAGTATAAGAAAGTACTACAGAAAGTGGAAAAATTATCGAAAAGTACTATTAAAAGTGAAAAATAGTAAGAAAAGTTACTTTATTTTACTTTATTACTGTTAAAAGTGATAAAAAGTGACTTTGGGTTCACTTTTCTTTTACATGGGTCCTCATGGGACCTTTGATCAAGTCCACAGCAATGAATTATCTGTTAAAAGGGGGACTACAAGCTGCTTTTTCATTGATTAGAGAATTTGACGAAAGATGCTTGCAAGGCCTGCACGTAGCGAAACTTCACTCTAAGCCAATCTATCTCCCAGAACCAAATCGTTCTAAAAATGCTATTAGTGACGGATTTGAAGGTAATATGAAACCTCTTTGGAAAATTACATGTCATCGTACTTCGTGATCTAATGTAGCTATTATCCATAATTTCAAAGTTCAAGCAATACCTTCTTTGTTCGATTCAAATGTTAAGGAATTTGTCGTCGTTAGGGGTGGCACTTTAACTTTAAACTTTAAATGTTAAAGTGGTTAAAGTTTAAAGTCCGACTTTAAACTTTAAAAGTTAAAGTTAAAGTCTAAAGTGGTACTTTAAACTTTAACTTTTAAAGTTTAAAGTAGTACTTTAAACTTTAAAAGTTAAAGTTTAAAGTACTACTTTAAACTTTGGCAGTTAAAGTTAAAGTGACCATACTTTAAACTTTCACTTTAAAAAAATTTAAAGTTAAAGTAGACGTTTTTCTATAAAACACAATTTTTCTTAAAAATTCATAAAAGTGAATAAACGTTTATGAAAGTACCCATAACTTTTCATGGACTGTATAACGGGGTACCCTTGGGTCCTCAAGTCCAATTTTTGAAAAAAAATTTTTTTTATTTTACAAAAAAACAGACCTTTTGACAAGAAAAAAAATTTTTTTCAAAAAATTTTTTTTTTGAAAACATTTTGTGTTTTCGAAAAAATTTATTTTTTCTCAAAAAGTCTGTTTCTGCATTAAAAAAAATTTTTCGAAAAAAAAATTTTTTTCAGAAATAGGAGTCGAGGACCCAAGGGGACCGGTAACGGTAACGGTTCGGTAACAGTAACTTCCTACCCCTAGACTTTAACTTTGAAAAGTTTAAAGTTAAAGTGTAAAGTACGTCCACTTTAACTTTAACTTTTAAAGNCCCTCCAGACCACTACCTCTGTCTTTTTGGTTCTGGCCGTGGCTGCGCGGGAGGGGGGTTGTGTGGGGGGGGGGGGGGGTGGTGGCCTTAATTGGTTCGGTGTTCGCAGATTTTCAAACATGCTTGAGAGGTGTTCGCAGACAAATTTTGAGTCGCACGATTTGAATCTATTCTTGGACTCGTATGAAGTAGGTATTCTTGAGCACAGCTTATCGAGTTCTAGCTAACGGTATAGATAGGTCTGGACTATCGTTCCTTTCGAGGTATTCGCAAGTGTTTGCGTATTTTACAGATGGCCTATCTTGAGCAGTGTGCTGTTCAATATAAAAATGTATCGGGAAATAATTCGTACCGTCCTTAAGTAGCGTTTGAGGCAATTAAATTGATTCCTTAGTATAGGAACTGCAGTACGGCAGCCGTTGTCGTCATATAGAACTTGAGGTGCCCTAGGTACCCCTATGATATAAGACTTGAGAGACCCTGGATATCTCCTGATATAGGACTTGAGGGGCCCTAGATATCCAACTAATATAGCACTTCAAGGACCCCAGGTACCCCTTATGTAGGACTTGAGGCGCCTTGGGTACTCTCCTGATATAGGACCAGAAGGAGCCTAGGTACACTCCTGCTGCAGGACGTGAGGAATGCTAGATACCCTCTGATATAGGACTTGATATGCCCTACATATTCCCTCATGTAGTACTTGAGGAACCCTATATACCCTCCTAGTATAGGACATGAGGAACTCTGGGTACCTTGCTGATATAGGACTTCACGTATAAAAGTTACTGTATGGCTGTTGACTTTTTCATAAAAAGTTCGAAATTATACGTTAATGAGTTAATTAACTGTAAATTAACGGTTTTAGTTAACGTTAATATTAACGTTAACGGTTTTCGTTAACCGTTAATATTAACGGTTAACGGTTTTCCTGTAAACGTTAATTCGTTAATATTAACGGTTAACGATTTTCGTTAACGTTAATTTTAAATAAACGTTAACGTACCACCCCTACTCCTAAGTCCTCTTATACTCATCTCGCTATTTCTCCACATAGTTCTAAATGAGTTTGAATTCGCCAGTTCAAGAAGAAATCTTCCATCAGTTGACTTTGACAAAGCAGAGAGGTATCTTTCCTAGTAAGCTGAACATCTGTCCTCCAGTGATTTTTCATCAAATACGAACGCATAGAATAAATCATTCCATTCTAAATGAAATGATATACATTTTAAACAGGTAAAATAAAAATGCGATAGATCATTTCTCTGTTTAACAGTAAATAGTGGAAAGATCGCGAACAAACATGTAAACAGCGGTAGAACGTAACATGAAAACAAGGCTCTTCAAAGTTCGTATGAAGTTGTTTTATTCAAACGAAAATGAATAATCATGTTTATTCGCTGTCTGATTTTTTTCCTGCGTTTTATTGATCATTAAACCTCAACGTATTTTTTCTGAAATGTGATATCCAAGATATTTAAATTTCTTAACCCAACCAATAATATTTCCACCACATGTAACTATAGGTGGAGAATTTATGACTGCTCTTGCTGACCACATTTTTTCTGTTTGAGAGTAGTTTATAGGTTGGAGATGTAACATAGAATATAGTTCTAAATTATCAAAAAATCTTTTTAATCTGTTTTCTACATCAATACCTTGTTCAGTGTACTTAACACCGATTCTGCCAGCTATGACTGCTGCAAGATCATCAGCAGAAAAGAACGGAATGCAAACATCCAGAAAATCGCCCATGTCAGAATGAAAGGTAATAAAAATTGTAGGCGTGAAACACGAACCCTGAGGACTTCCTCTTCTGATGCTAAACCATCTGGATCTAACTCCTTGGATTTCTATAAAACCGCGCCTGCTTTCTAACCACGACCTAATCCAATTTAAGTAAGAACGAGGAATACCCATTCTTCGCAGTTTAGCTAAACATCCTTCTATCCACATAAGATCGAAAGCGCTTTTAAAATCTACAAAAACATTAGCGACCGAACAAGAATTTGACATTAAAGAGGATACATGTTCAATAAAAAGAAGGACTCTCGTTTGAAGGCGAAAGCCTGGTCTAAAACCCGATTGTGAATCGGGCAAAAGACCACGTCTGTCCAACAACTTGCGAAAATGGTTCGTGAATAAACGTTCATTAACTTTCATAAATACATCTAACAATGATATCGGGCGGGTCTCGGCTGGCGTACAAATACATTCTTTTTTAGCAAGTAAGATCATTCTCGCATCTTTCCAGGCAGTTGGCTGAATCGCAGTAGAAAACGAATAATTAAATGTTTTAAGTAATAACAACCAATAACAACTAGGCAAGAAATTGAAAAGGTAATTTGAAATTCCATGTGGATCGCACGACTTTTTTCTTTTTAAGCTTGTAAACGATTTCTAAAACCTCTTCGATTGTCGCCTCGGGTATCTCCTCATCATGATTATAGAACTCAATAAAAGGAGCATCCAAAATTGGATGAGGTCGAATAATCTCTGCAGCGTTAGGCTCTTCAAAATGTTGTTCATAAAAATCCGCAGCTAACTCTGCCATCTTGTTAGGGTCCTTTATTATTTCTCCATTTGGTTGTGCAAATGCCCTTAACGAAGCAGATTTTCCCTTAAAGAAAATTTTAGTTCTAGACCAAAAGGCTGTGGAACCTAGAGTGGACGAATGGCGTTTAGAGAGACTATACGATAATCTAGTACTCATAAAGAATTTTAATTCGAATTTCGATTCCTTTCTTAATCGATTCACTTTTTTTTTAAAACTTAAATCTCCTGTACGTTTCTGTCTAAATGAAAGCGCGCGTATAAGCGAGAAACGAGCTCGCATCTCTTTCGGAATTGCTTCCCTATATTTCTCGAGAGGAAAATATGTGGTGCAACGGGCTGAAAGAAGAAAAAGAAATCGTTTGTAATCATTATAAACACTGTCTAGATTATCTAACTTCCACAAGGCTTCCCAAAACGGGTGAACCACTGATGCAAAAAAAAGAAAAAACTCTAAAATGAATATTTCTACACTGTTTTAAAACTTTTGATTTAATAGCGACGGATGAAATTATAGGTTTATGGTCGCTAGTTGTTGTCCCTTCATAAGTTTGCAAATCAACCGAAAATTTGGAAGAAAGTGTATAGTCTATTATTCTATTCTATCTTAAGCTAGTAGAATTTCCTGGTGTAAAAGGTGATAAAAAACAAGAATCTGCCTACTCTAGAAACTTTTCGGCAATCTTTCCATCTTCCTCTAAGTCGATGTTAAAATCTCCAAATATCACTGACTTTTCATCATAAAACTGAGAAAGATCCTCTCACATCCACGATCTACTTCCAGAACCATAAACTCCTATTAACCTTAAACTTTCTTCTAAGTAGAGATCAAGCACGATGACATTAGAGATTGGACAATCTAGACGTTTAACCTTTATGTCATTTCTAGTGAGAATGACAACGCCTCCATTTTTGTTTTCACCTGCCTGATAAAAAAAACGATACTTTTGAAAAAGTTGGCAGAGAGAAGTAGAATCAAAAGAGCCAACCTCTAAGAGGACCATAATATCAAATTTGAACGAGAGAGACAACATAAAAACTTCTTCGACTCTAAGGTCCAACCCTCTTACATTAAACGACAAAACACTTAAAATATTCGAGATAGAATATAGATCGGGTTTAACATAACTTTCCCATTCTTTAAACAAACCCGATAAGAGGAGAGTGCTCTCCCATTCATTCAAAATACTTTGAAACATAAGGAAATCATAACGACTCAAACATTCACTCGCTGGCTTCAACTTGTTGTCCCTCACATAAAAGCTATTTTCAGTTATGCAAGAAAAAAATGGAACTCCGAGAGGTGAGAATGTCATTTAAGTAATTGTTTACTTTCCACAATTTTATTTAACCGTGCACTATAAATTTCTAAATGTGAATGTAATGATTCATCCAAATGTCTTCCATTATTTGTATTCTTCTCTCTAACAAATTTAATCAAATCACGACAGAATGGAAGTAAAACATCCTTGGTTAGTTCTTCCTTTTCGTTCATTCTCAATTTAATCGTTTGATTTTCCATAGACAATACCACAACATACCGTTTCAATTCTTCATTCAACTTTCTCATTTCTTCGAATTCAGACGAAAATTTCTCTATTCTGTCATTCACTTTTAAAATTACCTCATTCATTATATCTAGTTTATTTATTATTTCTAAACTCTGTAAAGTAGATACATTGGTAACTGTTGTTCTCTGAGCAGAAGGTAATTGTGGAAAGTTTGACTGATCATACAAATAGCTTGAAGACGAAGAAGCAGAGCTGAGACCATTATAACTATTTAGTAGACTGCCTGTAAGATCAGCTCTGAATTTTTTTACTTCACTACATCTCATATCATTGCTAGCATGATTTTGCTTACAGTGTATACAATGTGGTTGTTTTGAGCATAGAGGTAAATGCTGTTTTATATCAGACATAGTCTGTCCACATGTACGACAAGTCTCACCATTCTGTCGACACTGACGACGAAAATGAGCAATCGAACAACATTTTCCACAGATTACAATTCTAGCTTGAGCTAGATATTCTACCACAGGAAATGAAATAGAACAAGCACGCAATTTACTATCACCTAAAAGATTTTCTCTTTCCACCGGGCAATTAAATTCTAATTTTACTAAGGTAATTTCTTGTTGAAATCTATTTTTCATTCTTACAACATTTTCTAAGCTACTAAACATTGATCTCAGTTCTGTGGTTAAATCTTCCATATCGACAGACAGACCGACACCTTTCATAATTACAGTTAATTGTGGTGAAATACTCGGTGACTTTAGCCTAATGAAGGTCGATCCAAGAAGTGTAGTCGGCCAATTCGTGTCATTGTACAAAAACGAAAAGGAAAGACTATCTTTAACAAACAATAATATATCACACTCGTTTGCTGCGCACTTAAGGGTCGAACGACGGTATCCAATTAATTCTAATTGAAGTTGTTTATTATCTTTTAAATGTTTACATAGTTCTTCGGACACCTTCTGCTCTTTTATATTAGATGATGGAAAACGAACAATAAAAGGTGGAAATGGATAACGTGTACGAGCAAACCTTTCAGCTTCTTCAGTTAATTGATCATTATTTAACGTTGAGGCAATTGTTGTTGTTGCCTGTTGTTGATTAAGCTGATCAGACTTCATACATTGATTTGACTGAGAAGATTGAATCGAATGGGTAGAATCGAACTGAACTGCTGTTGTCCGTGAGTTATTAGATAGTCGATGGACATTTTGTCTCGTATTATACTTGTGTGCATGAGTTTGAACCTGCTTTCGCTTACAACGATTTTGAACAATTTTAGTTGATGTATCATTAACAAAATCTTCATGTTCAATGATGTCATCTTCATAAGTTGTATGAGGATGTTGTGAAGAGTGCACTGCATAATGACCTTGATGACCTCTATTATTAATACTTGATTCCGGATTCTGTTGCTGTTGTTGAAGATGATTAGGCGACACCAAATGTCGTCCGCTCATCTCCAATTTTAAATTTCTTGATTTTTCCCGTGGAAGTAATTAATTTCGTTGATCACGTGACAGAAACGTGATAAATAATTATCATCGAACAGAATGAACTTTAAATTTTGTACGCAATAATATTATGTAAGGAAAGAAAGAATATACGTCCACACGTCGTTTGTAAAGGAAAGGAATGACTTATAATCATTTATTATGCTCTCAAATCGTGATAATAACACAACGTTTTGAAAAAATATAAAATATCTATATGACAACTCAGTTTTTAATATTTAATTATTTATCTGAGAATCCTAAATGAAAATATTTTTTTCATAAATCGTTTGAAAACATTCTACTTAGTAATTGTTGGAAATTCACGAATCTTGCAATATCTTCATGTCCTCATGATCAGAAAAAAAAATAATAAAAGTTTATATTCTTTCTAAAAAAAACTGAACACAATACTTTCTAACTGTATAAAAAATATTCTTCAATCAAATTTAACCAATCATTCAGTGTCACCATTATTCGAAGCAAGTTATAACGAAAATTTATACTCATTACAGAAAAAAAAACAAGAAATACATACTCAGTGTATAAACATATATATATGCTACCATACCTAACTACCTGCGCATGTTTTGTTAGTGTAAGAGAGTTGATGAAAATATGCTTTCACTTTTTTTTCAGATGTTAAATAAAGTTAACATTCGTTCCGTGCGAGACGAGAAAAAAACATCACATACAGGCTGTTCTGTCTGACTACTTGCTTTTTTCACTGAAGTGGAACGAAAGCAAACTATGCATCAGTGATCAATATTATAAAAGAGGGTGAAAAATGTATTTTTCTTCACATTTTTTAATTTTTTTTGTATTGATTTGAATTCATAGTTAGTGCATTCACTCGTTTGGTTTTGACTCCAATTATCGTTGGGCATTATTTAAAGGTAACAATGAATATACTATTGGCATTTAGTCTGCACTATTTAGATACTATCTGTTCATGTCAGAGATCGTTGCTCTGATGAATAGCATAATTCAGATTCATGTTCTGTTTTCGTTCTTGTAAATAGACAAGAAGATCAGCAGCTTACGAACAAGTCAAGAATACAAAAGGTGCCTTCTATTCTTTAAAACTATTTTACACAATCCATTCTCATGACTTGAATCTTGTGTTCTACGTTTTCTACATAGAAGTTATTCATAAACATGCTGATGAATTGTTACATGAAGCTTCAGTTCATGTATCATAATCGACTGTATCTTCGTCTTAGATATTTTTGGTGTTGATATGATATTCTTTATACATATATGATGAAATAAAATGCAGAAGTGTTTTCTCTGCAATATAATTTAAAGAGAAGTAGATTCAGTAGTTCAGAATTGCTAGATACTCTAAAACAACATTAAATAGGTAGTATATTTAGCACAACTCGATCAGACAATTTTTATAATAATAATAATATGATGCAGATTAAACAAAACTTTTTCATTCACAGTCTGTAATTGCACTATGATCTGGAACGCATAGAAGAGATTATAGTTGGAACCATCATTCCTGATGCTATTTTGATGGAGTCAATATAGTTTCTTGAAGATCAGTACTAGTACTAGTCTGAATAGGTCAGATCTGATTGAACCAATTGATCTGACATCTGAAACGATACCGCTTCTAGTCATGGTCTTTTAGGACAATGTTATTTGACATGGCTAGGTTTCGATAAAAAGCCTGTTAGTGTAGCTCCTTTGGGGTTGAAATGTGAAACTCACATATATTTTTTAGTTGGCAGTAGCATAGCCAATGAAGGAGCAAATAGACAATTGTCAGCTTTATTCGGAGAGATTTGCCCATTGTAATTTTCATGAGTAAGTTTTTGTCCATTGAAGTTTTACTTTTTCAGAATGGTTTATTTCTTTTTGAATTAGATAGCAACTCTATTTTTATTCTTCCATCTGAATCACACATGCACTTTTAGTTTGTTCTTTTTGTGAACAATTAAGAAAAGAAGAAGAAAAGAATCGCTCCTGGTATTTTCACCGATTTAGTCCATTTTCGCCGAAGACAAATTTCGCCGGAAAAAATTTTCACCGAAAGAAATTCGCCCAAAATAAAGTTCGCCGATTCCATTTTCGCCGAAAGAATTTTGTCACCGAAAACAAATATAAGCTGAATCTAATCATGTATACAACTAGGCATGCAACAAACCCAAACCGTTTGGGTTTGGTGAGCTTGGGTATTGAGTTTGGGTTTGGGTTTGAGTTTGGGTTTGGGTAGGGTTCGGGTATGAGTTTGGGTTTGAATTTGATGATGGTCCACGTATTTAAGCTTTTGATATATAACTGTTGGTCAAACTCAAACTCGAACTCATACCCAAACCCAAACCCAAACTCAGGCCCAATATCAAAAGCATAAAAATGAAAACGGTTTAGGACTAACGATGCATATTTGCAACATTAGACCCAAACCCATAGCCACACCTATACCCAAGCCCAAACCCAAACTCCCAAACAGTTTGGGTTTGGGTTTGGGTTTGGTGCATGCCTATGAGCCGCTGCACGAGAAGGACAACCGATTTTCCAATATAGGTGCTCAATCGATAATCGCAGATCGAGATGGGAGTTAGCCCATCTTGTAGAGGACATTTTTTTAGGCATAAATCCAAATTTTTAGCCCTAAAGCTTGAATTTTGGCTGAGATACGAAATACCGACTGAAAAGCCCCAAAATGCCTTTTTATCAATTTTTGATTTTTTTGGGTGGTCGGCAACCATCAGTATTTTTACAATATCTCTTCACCAG